GGGGGAGGGGAGATTTTGAAACTTGTGAAATCCACATTGATACCATTGGGCTGCAGGGTTCCCAAGCAGAATATGAGTTGCTGTTCCTGCAACCTTCGGGTGGCATCGTTGTGGCGCTGCAGGAGGCCCAGGATGGACATCTGAGGAATGGGAGGGGGAGTTGAAATGGTTCGCGACTGGGAGGTGCAGTTGTTTATTGCGAACCGAGTGTAGGTGTTCTGCAAAGCGGTCCCCGAGTCTCCGCTTGGTTTCCCCGATGTAGAGGAAGCCACACCGGGTAGAGCGGATGCAGTATACCACATTGGCAGATGTGCAGGTGAACATCTGCTTGACGTGGAAAGTCTTCTTGGGGCCTGGGATGGGGGTGAGGGAGGAGGTATGGGGGCAGGTGTAGCACTTCCTGCGGTTGCAGGGAAAAGTGCTGGGTGTGGTGGAGCTGGAGGGGAGTGTGGAGCGGACAAGGGAGTCACGGAGAGAGTTGGTGCTGCTACCCATCTGGTCCACTATGCTCTGAACTGAATCAACATCATTTTGGTGTTCAGTGTCATTACTCTTAAAGTTTCAGTCAAATCATAATTATTACAGCACGGAAGAAAATCATTCAGCCCGTTCTGCATCAGCTCTCGGAGTAATTCATTTAGTATCATTTCCCATTACCATGCATGCTTCCTTTTTTTTTTTAGCTCCCTTTTGATTGCTTTGATTGAAGCTCTGTCAACTGCACACTCGGACAGTGCATTTCAGACCGTAACCACTTCTACAGCAGGAACTATCTTCACTGGAGTATAGAAGAATGGGAAGGGGTAACAAAGAGGATTGAGGGCAGAGTGATCGTTGTGATCTATATGTACTTCAGTAAGACCTTCAAGGCTCCTCACGGTGGACTGGTGAGGAAGATCAGATCACATGAAAGATAGGGAGAACAAGCCATTTAAATGCAGAACTGGATCGATGGTAAAAGGCGCAGTGGTGGAGGGTTGCTTTTCAGACTGGATGCCTGTGAGCTGTGCCATAAAGATTGCTGTTGGGCCCACTGCTTTTTATCATTTATATAAATAATTTAGATGTGAACCTAAGAGGTATGGTTAGTAAGTTTGCAGATTACATCGAAGTTGGAGGTGTAGTGGACAGCAAAGGAGGTTACTTCAGTACACGGGATCTTGATCAGATGGGCCAATGGACCAAGGACTGGCAGATGGAGTTTAATTTAGATAAATGTGAGGTGCTGCATTTTGCAAAGGCAAATCAGGGCAGGACTTATACACTTAATGGTAAGGTCCTGGGGAGTGTTGCAGAACAAAGAGACCTTGGACTGTAAGTTCATAATTCCTTGAAAGTGGAGTCGCAGATAGATAGGATAGTGAAGGTGGTGTTTGATATGCTTGCCTTTATTGGTCACTACATTGAGCTCAGGACTTGAGAGGTCAGGTTGTGGCTGTACAAGACATTGGCTAGGCCACTATTGGAAGGATGTTGTGAAACTTGAAAGGGTTCAGAAAAGATTTACAAGGTCGCTGCCAGGGTTGGAGGGTTTGAGTTATAGGAAGAGGCTGAATAGGCTGGGGCTATTTTCCCTGGAGCATCAGAGGCTGAGGGGTGACCTTGTAGAGATTTATAAAATCATGAGGGGCATGAATAGGGTAAATAGACAAGGTCTTTTCCCCTGCGTGGGGGATTACAAAACTAGAGTGTTTGGGTGTAAGGTCAGAGGACAAAGGTTTAAAAGGGATCTAAGGGTTAATTTTTTCAGAGTGTGTTGAGTGTCTGGAAGGAGCTTAAGTGGTGAAGGCTGGTACAATTACAACATTTAAAAGGCATTTGGATGAGTAAAAGTACAGGAAGGATTTAGAGGGATTTGGGCCAAATCCTGGCAAATGGGACTGGATTTTTTAGGCTATCTGTTTGGCATGGACCAAAGGGTATACATCTCTATGACTCTCGGAAACCTATAAAATTTTAACAGGTCTAGTCAGGAGTTGAGTTACTTGCCTCAGTATTCTTAGCCTCTGACCTGCTCTTGTTTGGTTGCAAATGGCCAAAACTGAAGAAGGATGTCCCCAGTGACTCACGAGTCCAGAACTGTGGATTATAGTTTACAGGATAGGCCCTATAGGACTGAGATGAGAAATTTCATCCAGCGAGTGGTGGAATTCTGTGCGACACAGAGATTGAGGCCAAAACATTGAATGTTTTCAAGGAGTTAGATATAGTTCTTAGGGCTGAGAACTATTATCAAAGAGTATGGGCACAAAGTGAGAACAGGATACAAAGGTGGATGATCAAGCATGATCGTATTGAAATGGCAGAGCAGACTGAAGGGCTGAATAGCCCTATTTTCTATATTCTCATAGTTCATGGTCTGTACAAACTAAAACTAATAATTCTTTGTTAAATGTTTGCAATTACACAGTGCCCATCTCCGCATCTTTTCATACACTTAATTGCCTTTTTTATTCTAGTTACGCTAACAGCTGAATCATTGAACACAATTGCTGGATCAACAGGACTACAATATTTCATACTTGTGTTTAAAACTTCTGTTTAAGTATTTTGAATTTCAAATATTTATGGTTAAATTTAAAATGCAATATTCTAGGCTACAGTTTTCTCATTAAACCATGTATCTAACAGGACTTATTTGAGACATGGGTGACAATGGCAAAACTGATTTATTGATTAGGTGTCTACTTGCTCTGAGAAGATGTGGACCTTTAGTTTTAACTCTTATGTCCTTACTCTGGTTTTAGGTAGAGGAATACTGACTTTATTATTCATTCATGGGATACAGGTGTTGCTGGTTATGCCAGCAAGTATCAGCTACATTAATAGGGATTTGGAGTTGCATGTGGGTCAGTTCAGATAAGGATAAATTTCCTTCTCTAAACATTAGTGAAGTTGATGGGTTTTTTACGACAACCAACAGTGATTACATGAGCACCATTTAGACTAGCTTTTTATTCCAGATTATTGCATTCAAATTTCACCATCTGACATGTTGGGATTTGAACATCAGCATGGAGTACTGGATTACTAGTCCAGTTACATAAATAATTTGCTCCTGCCTTTGCATGGATAATGAGGGAACACATCATATAATTTGAAGTGATTGTGTTCCTGCAGCATTGCCGCTTTTGGATAAATAAAAGTTTAACCATGAAGTAAAAGATTTAATTTCCATCAAATCTATTCCTTCCACAAATCATGTGAAAAACAAGTTAACTTCACATGTCCTATTTAACATAGCTATCATTTAATTTCCAGTCACTTGCTTTTAACAATCCACATGAATTAGTATTTAACTACTAATATGCAAATATATTATCCTTTCAACTTGTAATTCTATTAAAATCTGCCAAATGGCTTATTTTCAAAATAAATAGTTGGCCTTAGATCACCTACTTCCATATTTTCCTCATTTTCTCTCTCATGTAGTTGAATCTTATTCATATTGTCAAGCATTTC